TTCTGATATCGTAAAACAACTTTATTCTGATACACGGTGGAAACGCTCACGTGAGTAAAGACCAGTAGCCATGAGCCTCCGCCCATCTGATTACCGCGGAATATGTCTTTAAAATCGCGACCTTTGTGCTAATGTGGTTGTTGCGCAGGAAAGGGTTGGCATTTTCGATAAAACACAGTGGGAACGAACAAGGTTCGCCTATGAAGCTGCAATGAACAACAAAAGGACTTGTGAACCCGAGATCGAGATGAGAGGTAAGCTCGCGGTCGAATCGAGGACAGGAAATGGCGCTTTGCGTCATGATCCTGAAGAGGGACCAACCTGCAAGCGCCATAGTATCCCTTTAGTGCCAAAGTAGCCCGCGATTTTGAAGGTGTCTGAACTCCAGGCTCGGCGAGTCACTTCGCACATTTCGTCAATTTTTCATCGACAAATAGCCCATCCACTTCCCTTGCTTGGGAAGCACGAGCTACTTGGTGCTTTGACGCGAAGTTGCAGACTTGCCCCTCCTAATTGTAAGGCTCAAGGCGCCCAACGCTGTTGTAACAGTTATGGCACGATTTTCAGGTGATTCCATATTGAGAGACACACCTATGATGGGTGAAGCGAGGCAGTCCATAGCGGTCAGAGGTGACTATCTCAACGAAAAGCCCAAGTTCACCATTGTACTACTGGTGATAGAACTAGTGAGTGACAGCTGGAGCTCTTCAAGCCACCGCATCGCTGATAGGGTGGCGCCCATTCAGCCCCGTTTCAGCGACCCTACAGGCTCTCTTAACAGAACCGCACACTGTAGTGCAGTTTATCACATTTTAGGCACGGCATCGTGCGCCAATCAGCCTATCCTAACTAGTTGACTCAACCTTTCGGATGGACAGGATCAATTACGCAGTTAACTGTCTCCCACGGCTGCATTGCGAACACTTGCGTACGCCGAGTGGTTACCGTACCTCTACGGCGAGTTTCGCCCATAATTGGGGTGAAGCAGCGGTACTCTGTCTAAATGGATAGCGCACTCACCCGTCGGAGGGAAATACGGATTCAAGCCCTGCCTGGACCCTGGCCTGTGGTAAATTTCGAGGCGCAAACTGGCGTTAAACAGCGTTGTCATACTAAAAAAACCAGGCGTAAGGTTACGGTAGTCTCACTGCGTACGCAATTGTACGCGTCGCACAAGTGGAAACCAATGGCGCCGTGGAACGTGGGTTGTCGCGGCTTCATCCTTCTGTCTTGGGTAAAGTCTACTAGCTAAGGTAGGCTGCTTTTCGCGATCCCTCGCCTCAGGCGTGCTGAATCACGCCCACCCCACTCATACAGTCCCGGTGGCATTTCCTACCTATTTTGGCCAAAGGGTGTCTATCAGGACCTTGCTTCTCTGCGAAGAGGTAAAGGGGGGGGGTAGCCACACGGATTTGCGATTCTGCCACATCACCGTACTTATTGGCATTCTTTCAGGAAACATGTAAGTGGGATAATTTCTTACTTCCTAAGAGGCAAGACAAGACGTGATGTAGTGCAGTCGTATTGAAGCGTTGCACCTCCCAGCTATCTTTGCCTCCTCCCCCCCCCATGCTCTAGTTCGCTGTGGATGAAGCGGCATGTTGGGCAGTATGCGTGTGCCTAGGCACCATACGCGTTCCCTGCCAGTTGTTGGAGCGGGTTTCTGGCAGCAGTTAGTGGAAAACGAGAAAACGATGTTATAGTCTTGGCACTTGCTCCTTTCAACCAGTTTTGGAGAAACGGTTTGTTATGAGTTCATCCCGCCTAACACGCCCTTTCGTTCGCAGCGTTCTATACTATAATCCGATGACGCAATGAGTTTATCACGAGCGTGCGCTCCATGGCAGGCCCAGGGTGTGTGCTGGTTGCCGCGCACGCGATTTCGCGTGGTTCTAACGACCGTCACTCTTAAGCCAGCGCCCAGGAAGATGGATATGAAATAAGTATCTGCTCTTAAGAATGCTCAATGCTTTCGTTTTTCAAGATTTGGTGCACGGCTTCTGTATGTGTTTGGGCTGGTGCTGCCGATAATCCTATGGTGCCGACAGTAATCGCTATTTTTAACGGTCTTATAGTGTTTGTGCTTATACTAGGATGCCTTAGTGTAGAGGTATGTTGAGCGCAGCTCACATTCCAGCCAAAGCCTAACACACCCAGTCCTTCTCTTATTCTAGTTCTTTCGATTACAAGTGCGAAGAGAAGACAACCGATCGGAAACGAGATTTTTCGTGCCCTACTCGTGGAGATACATGGTAAGTTTCCTAAGGCTGCGTTCATGCCTTGCGGCAGCGTCCACCAGCGACCACCAGCGACTATCAGCGTTTCCGAACGTCCGTCAGCGTCAGCGACTAGGAAAGTATAGATATCGATCTAGCGAACGGCAGCGTCTACCAGCATCCGGCAGCGACAATCAACGTCTCGAGGGAATAAAAAAGTATAGATATCGACCTTGCGCCCACCAGCGTCCACCAGCGACCTGCAGCGTCCAGGAGTACTGTTGTGTAGTAGTACCGTGCGGCTGAACACTCCACAATTTCACGATCCAGCTGTCTCCTACCTCCAAGCTCCCCGTACTCTACCAGCAGTCTGTTACCCTCCTACTTCCCCATAACCTCTACTCCTGGTCGCTTGTGGACGTGGGTGGACGCTGCCGTCTGCTAGATCGATATCTATGCTTTTTTAGTCACTGATGCTGACGGACGCACGAAACGCTGATGTACGCTAGTAATCGCTGGTGGACGCTGCCGCAAAGTGTGAACGCGCGTTACGGTTGACTTCTCGCATACCCGGCGCTTTCTGCTCCGCGCGTTACGGTTGACTTCTCGCATACCTGGCGCTTTCTGCTCCTACCTACCCCCTATTTTGAGAGGATATGAGTTGTTTCACAATTACGGTCTATATTTAAGTTTCAGATTTCAGATATGCGAGGCTCATATATTACGAGCCTGTCTACTGTGTGCAAATATCACCATCATGGCATTCGATGATGATTTCGATTTATACTCCGTCGTTGTACTCGCTGCTACTCCTGTACATCTTATAATAGTCGTTATACACATCTTCATTGCTATTAAGCCTAAACGTGAATAACACCAAATAAAGTGTTGTTTAGGTAGCTTTCTTTTGAACCTGTGAAAACACAGTGATTATATGGGCAGAGTCAGGCCCGCCATTGCGTCTACACCTCTGATCCATGCTAGGCGATAATAAAGCAAGCGCCAATGAAAGCAAAGACATGTAGCAGGCCTGACTCCGCCTCCGCACGGTTATCGTGCATCCCACTCACCCTTTCTACCAATGACGTTGGCGGTAATCGCTCGTCCTCAGCCACCCTGACCACTGCTTTTCCGGGAGCGATTGCCTTTGATCACATAACGAACTGTCACTTCAGTCTTCTCAATGGGAAGGCACTCTCAACTAGGCATATTTTGAACATTTATTTAAAAAAGGACGAAAAATACAACCGGAAGCCCTACATATTCTATCCCAAGCTCGTGCCAGTCAGTAAGGCATTCGTAGGGAATAATCGAAGAGGTCAACTGAAACCGCAAGTATGCTGTCGACAAAGCGACAAAGAAATGCGTAACGACGTGACAAATGAATTTCTAAACACAATTGACGAGTAAATAATAGATTGCTATATAGTTTTTTTGAGCAGGTCCGAGTGATGAAAGAAGGTAACGAGCATTGCTTAACTGCAACAAATCAATGAAATCTAACACAGTCAAAGGCGCAGTCCGCACTGATCGTGTGGACGGAGACAGTCAATCACTGTGTCTTTCTCACTGGCGCTCTTTCCCCTCTCAGATAATGAAGAGGGGTGAAGAGGAGGCGCGCTCCAATGAGGAATACACAATGAGAGGTCTGACTCCGCCCGCATGATCAACATGGATTGTGTCTTTAACCAGCTATACGAAACTATCTATGAACACAAACAACACTCCCGTACTGCAAATCATGAAAGCTCACATACGTCCAATAGATGCCCTAATGGCAGTCGTGACTGAAAGAGCTACACAACATAAGGACGCAACTAAAGCCATCTGTGTGGTCGCTAAGTTCTCTCAGAGCAGCAACGAAATTGAGCAGAGAAATCACAGCGATTGCTCTGCATTCAGAACGAGGAATGCGAGGTATTCAGTAACGGAAGCGAAAGTTTTTCACTCTACACGAGGTCAGCTGGAGGGGAGCGCATCAATCAATTGTGATCCAAATTACACGCAGAGGATGGAAAAAGGGTAGAGAAACATAAAACAGTTTACCCCTATCATCGAGAAATTAACCCCTATCATCGATAAAACACGCTTTCATTCATGCAACATCTGCCATAGACTGAGCTTGTGTGATCGATTCCCGTTAAGATACCTGAATACAGAAAATCTCTGGCTAAGGTCTTATCACCGTAGTCAAAGGGGCGGATGTCCTTCAACACACGGCCTTCCCACTGGTAGACAAATCGCCCTGCGAAAGTTCTTGAACTTCCTCTCTTCCATAGAAAAAGAAGCCTACCGATGAGAAGAGCGTGCTGGTGCATATGACTCCGCCCATACCACCAACATGTACTTGTTCGAGAAGAGCGCATTGGCGCAGTTCGCTTTGTTGGGCGTGAGGGGGTGGTGGTGGAACATATTGGACTTCCACTACTTTCCGTCGATGTGCCCACAATAGTTAACAGGTATTCTTTACAGGAGTACAAATGTTGACGTAGCTCAAGGCTCTAGTATCACATGTCTTTCCACTTGATCGCTAAACACGTTAATGGGAAGTGGTAGCGATGCAAATCCACCCCTCTTTCCCCAGCCGAACTGCACCGATGCATTTTAGGAAAAATCATGGGATATTCTCGACTTACCTCTTCTTCGTGGTCAACGACCAGATGATCACCTCGTTGTGGATTCACATGTTTGTATGTTTGGACATAAATGGCGGCGATGGCTTCGTAGAAACAAAGATATCGACGACG